TATAAATTCTCTAAATTTCCTAAGTCCCTAAACCCTTAAGTTCGTAAATCAAGTGAAGTAATTCCTAGGCACTTCGGGTACCTGTAGGATGTAAAATTCCCTAAGGTTGTAAAGTCTGACGATAAGGAAGTTACTTACCATAGTAAAGAAACTTAGATATATTACGTGAAGTAACCAGAGAAGATTATTCCCGGTGACAACATGACTGAAAAATGGTAATTTTACCTTAAAGAAGAAACACTTTTTGGAACTTAATTTTAAGCTAGCATTTCTTAATCTCAAAAAGACTTACTCAAGATGTAAAAGGTGTTCGTCAAAAGTCTTAGAGTCAATGTTAATGTCATCCACATACACGACTACATATTGTCATAAAATATCTCTTAAAACAGTATCTATTAATCATTAAAAATAGCGGCAGCATTGCATAAGCCAAACGGCATCACAGTAAACTCATATGTTCCAAATCTCATTATGAAGGTAGTCTTTTCTGTGTCCTTTTCATCCAACTTGACTTACCAGAAACCACTAGCAAGATCCAAAGAGAAAAACCAAGTTGAGCCAAATAATATTTCCAACATGTCATCTATCCTTGGTAGTGGATAACAATCCTTTTTTGTTACTGTGTTTAATTTGCGATAATTGACACATAATCGCTTCTTTCCATTTTTCTTCTCCACAATGACAATGGGAAATGTTCACTAGCTACTGAAAGGTCCAATCAAACCATTTTCCTGTAATCACTGTATTTCTTCCTGAATAAATCTCTGGTTTTGAAAAGAAGTTCAATAGAATCTCTGCTTGATTAGCGTAACAGTGCCTGTATCGATCGAATGCTTAACCACAGATGTTCATCCAAATTCGTTAGAATCCCAAACAAAAAGATCTTTATATTTCTTCATGAATTTCTCAAATTTTTCCTTTTATTCCTTATTTAGGGCTACAACATAAAAACATTCATTATCAATTTCTTTGTACTGATAATAAGACTTTTTAGTAATATTGTTCTTCAAAATCACTTGTTTAACAAGTTCATTTTCGATCTGTTCAGCTTCTTGTGTTGTTATATATTGATTGAAGCAATACAGCTATTCTTGCAAATCAGCTTCTTCTTCATATTCCTCATCACTATTTTCAATTATGTGTTCTACTTCTTCAGTATATCATCAGCAGCATTTATTTTGTTTTCGATAACCCGATCATGTAGCATTTGATGATATTCTACCATAACAACAATATTCTCATTATTCCAATATAATGTCAAAAGGCTTTTACGATAGTTTATGATAGCTTGTGCTTCTTTTAGCCAATCGTTTCCAACAATGGTAGCATAAGAGTCTGCTTTCATGACAACTGCATCAAAAGGGATCACGTATCTGGAGATCTTTAAAGAAACACCTGTAACAGCCTCTAAGGGTCTTCTTTTTTCACTGTTTACGTTAACCATTATTATTTTAGATGCTCCTGTTATCTCCATATCCAAGTCTTTAAGCAACTTTAGGGAAATTATACATCCAGTAGAACCAAAGTAAATTATTAACGAAATTTTCACATTTTTAATGTATGCATCACAATACAATGCCATGGCTCTCTTTTCAGATCTACTCACATAGTTCAATTCAATGTTCTCATTTTTTCTTCCACAATAATTGGATCTTTTGGCTTCTTTGCTATTAGCTTTCGTATTGCTTTTAATATAGCCTGTTTGAACTTAGGATTCATGGCTATTAACTGTCCATTAGTGATGCTGGCAGGTTGATCAAAAAATTGTTGAAGCGTGTAGGGATTAACCATATTATTTATTGGTGGAATCAAAGGGTTTTTCTTTTTACCGTTTTGGATTTTGTTTTAATCAGCACATTCTTATTGTCCTTCCATTGATTTGTTAACTATTGTATTAATTCAACATCATTCTCTTTCTTTTCTATATTATTCTCATTTTGGTTATAGGGAGTTTCTTAAGCAGCTTTAGCTCATATTCTAGTTGCCAGATAAGCTTTAAACAAGGATAAGTTCAAGGGAACAACTAATGGTTTCGTACCATCACTCTCATGAGGTATACCATTTAGTTTAAATGTTGATCTTGTGTATTATCTTGCATTAACTGTGACAACAATTGTAGCAACTGCAGATTTTTAAGATTGTTGTCTCCTACTACTGAAGCAACGTTAACGGTTGGTTGTATTGGGTGAGTAGGACTTGATATGTTACTTCCTGTAGTTTGATTATATTGATAATTTTGGCTATTAATTAGAACGTTAAAACTATTAGGATAATTTCTCTTTATATGTCCTAGCTGCTTGCATAGGTAGCAAATAAGGTTATTCCGTTGAGGAGTTGTTGAAAGCATGTTATTTGGTGAAATTTGATGATCTATGTATAACATTATTTTTAAAATTTCTTCTTCCAACATTCAACTGCTGGATTTGTTAAGCTAGACTAGCTATCGTTTCATTAAAAGCGTTGGTTTGTGTAGATGGTATTGTGTTATAATGGCATTTTGGTCTTGATATGTGAGTTTGTATGCCTTTGAACGATTAAGTGCAGCATTCCAAATCTGGTCATTATGGGCTTTTACCATCAGATGTAGCTTGGGCAATAATCCATTAACCAATCTATGAGCTTTCATTGCAGCTAGGTATGTAAATGCTGGAGTTTCAATTCTCCTATATAGTTCTTGTAAAGCATGCATAGGCGTTAATGGTCTTGTTAGGTCATTAATATCATTGATCAAGCTCTGTAGTTCAAATTTCAACCAAGGTCTATAATCGAAAAGCGATAGGAAAATTAGTAATAAAATTAGTATTGTTATTATTCCCTGTTCATGCATTAATTCTATTTGCATTATTAGCTGCTAATACTTGATTTATCATCTACCAGATAGAGGCTGGTCCCTTGAGGTAGGCTGGTACCACTTCTAATTTTCTGGCATCAGCAATTCCATTTCCATTACAAGCTTGTATGAACTCCTCTAACTATCCAACAGGATCTTGATTTCTTCCGTAATAATTAGGTATATTCACTACAAGAGCTTCTCTTACAAGAGGATTTGCATAAGCCTGCATTTGGGCTTATAAATTTATGATAGCATTATTTGCATTTGGTGGTCCAGAGAGTTGTAAGACTCCTTGCAGAGCTTGTAAAGCTGCCGTTAAATTTTGGAGATCAACTGCTTAGGCGGCTATTAGATTTTCTTCTCTAAATAATTGCTCAAGATTTAGAGGTTCGGTATTGAATAATAAATTATTAAAATTTGGATCGTTTAATATTTCAGGATTATCTAATCCAAAACTATTATCAGACGATACTGGAGATGTGGTTTCACTTGCGATGTAAAGAATGGTAAATGGATTTAAAAGAAATTCTTATGTATTGATAAAGGTGTTATATAAGGTTTGTCAGATTATAATATACAATTCTTCTGGAATTCTATGATATCTTATACTAAATATCAATTTAAAAATAGCATTTCAGGTTTCTTCTATTTCTCTAGTATAGAAAAGTTCCTCGAGATACTGTTGAGTATATCTCGAAAAGTTCTCAGTAGGATATTCAACAGAATACTAGTTCCAAAAATTCTGAAATCGGGCTGTTAATGGGAATTCAAAAGGGTAACAGTATTCACAGGATCGATCTCGATGGTAAGTGGTTATATTTCTTCAGCGTAGTATCCAGTAATAATTATTGTGTATATTATTTTGTTCAATATGGGCTTAAAACATACAATTAATTAATAATTTCTTTTAATTTTCTGGTAGAAGGCACTATGTATTGCACGTAGTTCGAAACGTTTATAGTTATAAATAATAGAAAAGGTAAGCAGAAGGTTTCTTTATTGAAATGAATTAAATTTATTTATTAACAATAAGAGAAATCTAACATAAATATATGTAAATAAGGTATTGCCTTAATCATCGATGCTCTATACGATCAGATACATAATTTATTAATATAGTTTAGTTATTGTTATAAATAAAAGGAAAGGAGATATATGCTAATGTTGTCTATTATTTTTATCTAGAAAATATATGGAACACTTGATACGTTTTACTCAAGCGAAATCCCACCTCTTTTATACTTAAAACCCAGTAAGGACTAATTGTTCAGAGGCCTTTTTGTTCTCGAAACATAATGGCCGGATGGCATATTGGCCAGGAGACAAATTGGCCTGCAGACAATTTAGCCAGGGGACAATTGGAGCATCAATCTATAAAAGTCTAACTAAATACTAACAAAACTTAAATTTAAACTAAACAGAAATGGGACACAATGCCTTGGAACTAATAGAACATGATAGAACAATTAAATTATTTGTAACAATATTGACTAAATTTGGATATTTACAATAATGATAGAAAACTTTATAATAGTAACAGTTAATTGTATGAAGAATTCAAGAATTTTTCTCAAAATATGAAAATAATTTCATCATATTTCATCTTCATCCTGTTTATTAAAATCTCTAAGACAGCACTCATCAATGATGTCGAAACATATCGTGGAGATGACTTACTTGATTCTATCATATCAGTACCTTACTATCTCGAGTGAATTAAAGAACAAAAAATTCACAGTAATTGTTTACAAAATTATAAAAATTTTCATAAGTTTATATTTAATGTTTATAGTATTATACTCATTTTTGGCTCTTGAAAGCAATATACATTCTAATTTACCATGAAGATACTTATTATGTGTCATAATGTTTTTGATTCCACAAATTTCATAATTACGAAATTATTGCAAATAATTAAAGAAATCATTCAAAATAAAAAAAAAAGAAATAATTTATTATTATAACATATTGATTGCTATTTTCAACTCACTATATGTATTATCTATATATTTCAAGATACCTTTAGTTTTGATTTTACTATTTCAAAATCGTGATAGCATTACAAATGAGATGTTCTTATGGATAATCTTCATCTTAATAGGTATATCAATGTTTTGGGTGAGATTTATTTATTTTGGTCTCAATATGGATTCAATTCCATCTATTTTCAATATAACCAAAGAGTTTTTTGATATAAAATTCCCCTTCCCCTCCTTGGATTTTAAGAAATTTTCAAATTTTGTCAGAAAGTCGATCTCATACGCATTTCTTTATCTCACCTTTAATTTTTTCTTTATCCCTGATATTTTATTTTCTATAGAGATCACTTTTTGGTTCAATTTGAATTTTTACTCAAACTCTTGTGGAATGTAATTATATTGAATTTTACTATTAACGTTTTGAAATTGCTTGAGAATGAGATCAAAACTTAATTCTTGGTCTATGCATGGTAACACGAACATGTCCGCTCAAAAATTAAGTCGTCGGACTTAACAACGCTAGAATATTTTAAGTATTATGAGTTTACAAAAAAATTATTGGTATTATTTTGATCACAGGAGTTGCTCAAGAATATTAAATTAAATTTAGTAGGAAAAATGGTTATAAAATTTTTAAATTGGTTGGTTTTTGATTACCTTTTCTTACTGGTAACATTGATCCATTTTTAATAAAACGTACCGCTAAGCTTTATATATAATACCTTATTCCTCCTTTGAATGCATATAATAACCGTTAAATGGCGAGTTCAAAAGAAGGTTTGTTTAAATATTCATAAGTTTATGTATTAAATGTATGCTTACAAAAACAAATATATTAGAAAATGATCAATGAATGAAGAATCAAACCTAAAATTGTTTGAACAATCTCAATTGATTATTTAAATCAATTGAATTCATTAGAATCGAAAAATGAAACACATGAGAAATATCTCAAAATTTTAATTAATAAAATAAAACCACTATCGTTATAATCGAATACTGAAACAAAAGTTATTATTTACAATGATACTTGCCTGTAGTAATACTCAATTAGCCAGCCTACCAACTTTACCCAACTACTTAACGGAACTCATTTGCTATGATACTCACATAACCAACTTACCAACTTTACCTTTATTCCGTTCAAACTAGTTCCATATATTTTCCAACTTCACATTTACGCTACGAACCTTATAGTATTTTAACTAATACATAAGCGAATATACTCTTTTGTGTGTATAAGCTGTATATTAAACCCTTTTTAGATAATGATGATAATGATAGTATCGTTGAATAGAACTTTTACGAGATAGAAAAGGATTTAAATGAAATGAGGCTTCTATTTATTAATTTCTAAGGTTGTCACCAGTAAATCAGATAATAACACCAATTGAGATCTAACAACTACAAAAAAAAATGTTTGTTTGCTTTATTTAATATGAATATTTAAAATTATCGAAGATTGAACTTTGTCGTTCCGGAGTTCACAAGACTGAACAATTTTGATTCCTCGACCAAGGGACCAGGAATACATAAATGCGCTGGATTATTTTCCTATTTAGAAAGAAATCCTATAAACAATGAACTATATAGTAGATTAGGAAAATAAATTGGAAACGAAACCAAAATTCCAAGTTAAAGGATTTCTTAAAAGATTTGTTTGATATCCAAACTTTCTTAAAGAATGCGAATCATTGCCGCAATTAAAAAGCATTGTGTCGTTTCGAATTTCGAACTAGAAAGTTATCCTTATTTTTCGAATTATAGAACTTGGTCGAAATTAACCATGTGACAAATAAGGTGACAAATAGGAATTTTCATATCGAAAAAATTCCGAGTCCCCAGAATAAATAATAAAACAACAAAATAAAATTTTGAAAACTGCATTAAATTTATTAAATTAGTTAAATTTAAATTTTCTTGTCCCAAAAAACTCAAAAAAGGAATTTTAATGATAATGAAGAAAAAAAACCTTTGCAATGATTTTTTTTTTATGAACGCTAAATAATTAAGGTTTGCCGATTATCTTACCGAATTCCGTGGAATTTCGATTAAAGAATTTACTTTTAAAGTTATATCCCATTCCGATACAAAATTGCACATCTTTTTTTTTATTTGTTTTTGAAAATACTATGTTGGCGTCTCTACAAATTTCGCCGAATCTCTTTCAAAACCTTTCTTTAGGAAATATCATTTGACAAATAATATTTGATCTTTGGTTCAACGAGTGGGTTGTGCCATTGTAATAATCACATGATATGTGTCTTTTTTTATTTTTACCAAGTTACGGTATTACGGAATGAAAAATTTGATGTGTCGATGAAATAGTTTATGAAATAGAAACAAAATTAGGAAGTTCAGAAGAAATTTTTTTTGATCCATCTACATATAGCTTCGAAAAAATTTCATGGATTATGGCAACTCAACTTCTTCAAAGCTGACTTGCATCTATTGAGTATGGAGTATGGAGTATGAATGCATTGTGAAAACCTTTCAGAAAAATGTATTCAAATCTCTCTATTCGAGAACAGTCTGGAAGCAAATCCTAGGAGAAAGACTAACACCTTGCAG